TATTATAAATAAATTTATTTCTAATTTATTTATAAACAGTATGAAGGGAAAGATCCAAAATTATTATAATTTTCCAGATATAAATATTAAATTACATCAATTTAGCAGTACAAATTGTTATAATACTGGCTTGCACACATTTTCTTAAATCTGCAGATACTGATGCAACATTCTATGCATTCAATAATTTTAAATTAATAATTTAAATGCATTTACCTTTGTAAATGCTGTACTTATAAAGCGTGAACATGAGTACAACTTTGAAAAATGTTTAATATACGTATTTTTCAATTAACAAACTGCAACATTTATTAGTGATCATGAGTGATATGTACTTTCATATACATATTTGACTATAATTACCAAACCCAAAAGCAATGCTAATCCTGCACCTGTAATGTAATTTGTGATTGTGCGATAATCATAGTTTTCCAAAAATATAGTTTACAAATCTTAAATTAAGCTATTTATATACAAGGTGGATCACCTAACATTTTAAGAGAGATTCATGCTTCCCATACTCTAATAGGATTTCATTAACATAAACACTGAATCATTATTGGTACATGTATAAAAAACTGCCACATCACCAGTACTTTCAAGAATGTGTTCAAAATGGTGGCCTTTTTGGATTTAACTTCTAACAACCTAGGACACATTTTCAAATTGATTTACATACAGAATGAACATTCAATTAAAAAAATAACTTTAATAAATTATTTCCCTACATAAATAATATTTGACTTATACTACATAATAATAACAAAATATCAGATTATTTATTTTATTTTACTTTAATATGAGGTGTAGTTATAATATAAAAGCATACTGCGTGATTAAGGGTTAAATATGTTTGCATCCTGCTTCGTAAGAAAAGTTACACATTATTTTATATATCAGGGATGATATATTCTACATTTTGTTGTTAAAAATTGAAGCATATCATCACCAGTTGTTGGTGCATTGCATTTTCATCCTTTTTTGATTAAATTATGCTTTTGGAAGAATAACTTTCCTGCAGAAATATCGTAAAATATGACTATCAAAAATTAGTCCTACT